AAGCTCAGGGCACACACATTCATTAGACAAAACTTTTTTTCATTTCGGGTAGTAGCTGCGTGGAATGACCTTCCTCCGACGGTTGTACACGCTCCTTCTCGAACCCAATTTAAAGCACTATTAGACATTTATTTATGCGAATCCTCGCGCTGGCGAGCATACTGCCCCGCGCTGAGAACATAAAGAGCAGTGCTACACCCTTTTTTCACTTGTGCCTTTCAGGTGAACGACAGCCACTGACCGACAAGAACAAAACCGACTCGGGAAACTTGGGCAAAAGCCTCGATCCTGTGTATCAATCCGTGAATCCGTGAATCTTTCCTCCATGTGGGAGCCCGGTTTGCGAGGGCCCTTCACCTAAGCGCCGAGGTTTTATTCCTTGTTGGCGAACATTGTTATTTTTACCTCATTCAGCACTTACTTTTGGAAGATTATTCGCTGTTGATCTGAGATTTGGGGCAAACCTGCTTTCGTTTTATTTCTTGGACGTATTGGCACGGTTTGATCGGCAAGGTGTCCCTGTGGTGCCCTGAGCGCTGGATGGCAGCAACGAGAACTGATTCTTTTGGTGGAGCTATTTTTTCAGAGGACCGCACCTTGATGCCAAGAGGCAGTTTTTCTGATTCGGCGAGTCTTGTGTGGCTTGGTTGTCATCTTTTTTTTTGCAGTCGTCTTTCTTTTGTGTTTGTGTGGACACCCAATCCGCACACGATCAGCGTGGCCAACCGGATGTACGAGGGATTTTCTGGTTCGCTGCGGCCAGGTTTGTGGCTTTGGCTGTCAAGATTCTGGGCTATAACTGTGTCCACAAGCAAAGATACCATTTTTGACGGAGCGGAGCCGAAGATTGGCAGTTTCAGTTCTCAGTGGTTATGTGGTTCGCGCAGTATCCCCCGATATCGAGGTTAGCACATGTGGTCGATTTGTCGGTAGGATTCGCCGCTCGTCCGCGCATACCTGACCCAGTCCAGCTCAGAAGCTGTGACTTGGGTGTAAATTTTACTACGGCACCTTTGTTGTCTGTTAATTAAGGAGGCACTGATAGCCCTACATACTTTAGGCGCTGCTTCCACATGAGGCTTGCCTCCTCCAGAGCATTGCTGCCTTCGTGTGATAATTGAAGTAGTGGTAGGTACCTTAACTACCGAATGTATGCGTATTATGGAAGTCCGAATATGGACGAATGAATATCGTATATTCTCGTACATCGTGTGCGTACTCTCAATCGCGTCGTAAAACAAAGGCATATAAAAATACAATAAACAGAATGAATAGAATAGAGTCAATGTTCGCCACACTTCGGTAGTCGAGATATCTATAATGGATGAGTGTAAACTGCTGTCCAGAGACGCGGCTGGTGCGTCGGCGTGCTTTCGGGAGCAGAAAGGCCTATGGCTGCTGTCGGTTTTGCCATAAGTTTGGAGTCGGCTGAACTGGTGCCAAGAAGATGCTTGTCTCGTGTCTCCCTCAGAGCAGCCGTGGCTCAGCTTCCGCGCCTCCAGAGGCCGATTCTCAAATAGATGCCTCATCTTCGGGTGAACATTTTGAATGCTGAAAGTGCGCTCCAAAATTTTCTGTACGGCAGACGGAGAGGAAAAAGGTGACTAGAAGCCCAAGTGTTCGCTTGTTCCCCTTCTGGCGTAGCCATTCTGCATGAAGCGATGCGCGTTCAGGCTTTGTGAGGACACTACCAAGGAGCAACTATGCCAGCTTCGTTGGAATGATTTTTTTGACGAAAGATGATCAGTCTTTTCCCCTTACGCGCCGGTCCATTAGAGACGCCGTGGCCGTCTTTATTGCCACTTCAGAGAGCTGGAGGACCTTCCTCGCGGCCAGTGACCCGAGATGGATAGCGAGAGGCACTGGTTCACCGAAGAAAATCCTTTATCAACCTTCGTTCAGGTCGCTGCGTTCATTGTGTTTTCATCCTCAGACGCTTTAGAAAGCAGTTCCAGTTTCGAATCGAGTATTCTGATTAAAGCGGAACATTCACATTGGTCCTTCTGAATCAGCAACGGGAATTTGGTTTCGTTTTTGGTGGCTATCTTCTTGGTTGTGGTATGCATTGCACCCTCATCGTTGGAATGATTTTTTTGACGAAAGATGATCAGTCTTTTCCCCTTACGCGCCGGTCCATTAGAGACGCCGTGGCCGTCTTTATTGCCACTTCAGAGAGCTGGAGGACCTTCCTCGCGGCCAGTGACCCGAGATGGATAGCGAGAGGCACTGGTTCACCGAAGAAAATCCTTTATCAACCTTCGTTCAGGTCGCTGCGTTCATTGTGTTTTCATCCTCAGACGCTTTAGAAAGCAGTTCCAGTTTCGAATCGAGTATTCTGATTAAAGCGGAACATTCACATTGGTCCTTCTGAATCAGCAACGGGAATTTGGTTTCGTTTTTGGTGGCTATCTTCTTGGTTGTGGTATGCATTGCACCCTCAATGTAGGGGAAGCTGGCGCAGACAAACGGGTCAGGAGAGTTAGCTAATCGGTTTATCTGGTCGTCTTGTAAACCCCGTCTTGTGTTCGATGGACAGCTATTTCGCCAACATCTGTTGTGGCCCATCGATGACTGCTGAAAGCAGTCTGTATTCATTGGTGTTATCATTGAGCCTGGGTGCAAAATAGGAAGTGAGTGCGGAATAACGGAGGTTACCACGTTAATAGTGTCAGAGTGGGAAAATTCAACAAATGACACTCATATCATCTGAAAATACATTAACCAGTGTAGGAAGTTTTTTCACAAATTTACGTGAGGGATAAACGAAACTATATCCGAACCGACTCCACTGTTAGCTTCAAAAGGTCATCTGAAAACAATCTACAAGATTAAGGGATAGCTCCTTATCCATTTTGGAAGTCGCAGCTCCTGCAGTTAAAGCGAGTGTGCTAACAATGGGACGGTCGTTTGATACACTGAAGCTTTCTGAAACACGCGATGCCACTGGCTGCCTTAAGCTCTCACCCTCAACCTCAGTTCAACCATTCATTTCGGACGGCCTGTCAGCGGTGTTGGGTGACACTTTTTTCCATCCCAAACCTAAAGGTAATGTGCCTGCGGCCTTTGTGGCCCAACGATTATGCATTTTGGTCACTTGTGTCTATGGGAACGTTTACCACATGACGATTACGCTGAGACGACGAAGCTTGTCCGCTGTGTGGATATCTGCAGGTGTGCGCACAATGTGACTGCACACAAAGCACAGGAACAATTCTCCTTGGTTGCCAGTGCGCACTGTAAAAGCGCCCGTCCTGCCAGGTCATTAACTGACCAAATAGCTACGATATACACCTCAACCAACCCATGGAAACTCAGCCAAGCAACTCCTGCAAAGCTACTTGTTTTCAACCGTTTTGCCCAACGTTGCGTTAGAGTGATATCAGTAAGTGGAATTTCAAATACATGTTCACACGTTCCAGGTTCTTCATTTAAATCAAGTTATAACTTCTAAGTTATGATTTCCAAATAAGTGGATGCCTCAGGCCCTTTTCAGGAGAAATGATTCAAAAGTGCTTCTATTTGGACTTGCTAACTAGGCTTCGCGCTGCCATCACCACTCGGGCCGTGTGGACACAGTAATGTTCCTCAAAGTTCGGTGATACTAGGAAAGCTAACAGCGAGACCAGTTGTAGCAAACGCCAAGTGTTTTTACTAAGGAATTTGATGTGTGTTTACTTGCTGAGGCCAATAATTACTAATAAAATTTGATGGAGTTGTCACGGTACCGGATATGTGGTTAAAATACTGGAAAAAAGTGAGAAAAAACTATGTAGATCATTTACATCCGTGCCGACGATGTTCCAAAAGTTAATTGTGGTGATGGCTGATCCATGATAGACAGCCGTTCGGAAAAGTTAACACGGACTGCAATCACCAGTTTGGCCATCAGTCTAGCCATCAGATTTGTTAACTCGTTTAGTAGGAGACGAGGTCCTTAGATGAGTGAACATGTAGCGGACAAGGACCTAAGTATGCGTGTTCAATCAAAATATCAGATTAGAAATAACAAATGGCAATAAGAAATGGACAAGTGAATGGAACAGACTCACTAAATTGGGGGCTCCAATAATCCCACAATTGGATGCAATTTCACTGACTCAGCAAAAAGCAGGGAAGTCGCGCCAAGAAGATGTGTATTTCCACCATTTTCGACTTTAATGTAATTATTGGTACAATAAAACAAAATGTCATGATACGTGTACAGTGTTTACAAATTGCAATTCAAGTTTATATGAAGAGAGTGGAAAATGGGGAAAATGTAACATTGATTTACAGAGCACCACAAACACTTTGACCTGGTCCATATTTCCTGCTTGCACATCGTCCTTGAAGAGCAGTTTCTGCATGAGAGAGGATTCGATGCAGATCAAGTTTGTGCAGATAGTGCCGATTATGGATTTTTCGGTCGACAAGCTGCTGAAACAGAGCCAGTACTGTCTGACTGGCAGCCGGATGAACGTGGAGTTTATCACTGGGTGATGAACAATAAAGTGAAACGACCATACCTGGTAGCCACAATTCACCTCTGATAAGTAATGACGTTCACCCGACATCGAGTCCATCAGTTACCTTAAAAAACCCTGAAGAATCACAAAATCTGATATTGTGTCGTTAGGCTCGCTGTATCGAGTGATCACCCGTAGCATCGTGAACGATTTTCTGAAGTTAAATCCGTTCATATGCACAAACCGCTTTAACTGACGCTGAGTACCAAGCAGTAGACAGAAAGCGGCAAGCGAAATAATCGAAGTTTTCTTCCTTTATGAACAGTAGACCGGTCATGTCAACGAGGTAAGTTCTGGGGTCATACTCTACGTATGTACAAAGCCGCTATTGTGGTCTCGTTTGCAGATGATTGTAATGTGCTTCATAAATGTCAGCAAAGCTTATATGAGCCTGTAGGGCTAGAACTTCCTTAATGCATCAGCATTCCGTGAGATTTAGTAGGCGTGAATGTTTGCATGCGAGCATATTAATTTTTGAGGCTGGCGTGGAAGGGTAAGACTATCGATTGGGGCTGCATATGTCTGAGTGTTGAATTGAAAACTCGGAAATAAATGTCAGCCCTCATCCAGAATATGGCTGAATATCTATTCTCCTGCTGTTTTGCAGTGGAATATATTGGGAGACGGACGCGACAGCTCGCTAAGAGAATTCGTGAGCATCTCTCAAGCACGCACCTCGCTAGACTTGGTGACTTGATCTGAAAGTCGACTGCGTCAGGCGTCATGAGACCGGTCATTTGATGCTATCTACCGGATACCTAGTAAATTGCTGATACTGCTTAAATGCGTTTGAAACAGTCACAGTACGACTGTGAAACTCGGTACTGTGCCATCAAAAATGATCCGTACGAACTCTAATTGCGCCGTAGTCAGGTGATATGATTCCATCATCCCAGAAACTTAAGGGCTCTCCAGACTAGAATACCACTCGAATCCGTCATTTGTATACTTGCGTCTTTATCTTAGTGGCTTAAATAAACTATTTACTTCATTATTTATCTCTATCTTAAGTATTAGGCAAC